AAACCCTAACCCCCAAAACCCCTAAACCGTAAACCGTAAACCCTAAAGCCCTAAAGCCCTAAACCCTAAACCCTAAACCCCTAAACTCCCAAACCCCTAAAAAGCCCTATAAACCCCTAAACCCTAAACCCTGAACCCCTAAACCTTACAGTAAACCCTAAACCCCTAAAGCCCAAGGCCAGCAGCCCGGCGAGCTCGGCCTCCCAGGTGTCGTCACAGACCCGTCCTGTGCAGCCGGCGGCCATACCGAGGCCAGCCATTGACCAATACATAGGGTTTAGGGTTTAGGGGTTTAGGGTTTAGGGTTTAGGGTTTAGGGTTTAGGGGTTTTGGGTTTATAGCGGTCTAGGGGTTTAGGGGTTCAGGTTTTAGGGTTTAGGGGCTTCGGGTTTAGGGTTTAGGTTTAGGGGTTTAGGGTCTATAGGGCTTTAGGGTTTATGTGCTGAGAGTGGGCGTTGCTGTCTGGATTTTTCTTGGGGGGTTGGAAGTCTTTAGGTTCAACATCTAGGGGTTTGGGTTTGTCACGAGGGAGAGGGCGAGAGAGAGAGAGAGAGAGAGAGAGGGAGAGAGAGAGAGAGGGAGAGGGAGAGAGTCAGAGAGAGAGAGAGTCAGGGAGAGAGAGAGAGAAGGAGAGAGGCCAAGTCACGCAACGCTGTGTCGAGGGTTTGGAAGTCACAGGCCGGACCAGCCGATGACTTCAACTAAGGCCTCTCAGGCACGTGAAAAGTGTTAAATTATGTCTGTTGATGAGTAAACTTCACTTGAATGAAACTTGCAAAGGTAAAGCGTTTACCTAAAAATACAGAAGTTAATCAAGTAATTCATCAAGGGCCGGTGGGGAACGTCCCGCCTAGGGTACGCCTGCAGTTTGGGGTAGCGGGGTCTTCGGGGATCTTTGGGTGTGAGTTTTCGGGTAGATCCCAGAGACTCCAATATCCCTTCATTAAGGAAGATTCCTTAAGTTACAGTAGGATCCTTTTCATGATTTAAGGTGTACTCCTTAATTACGGGATATTGGCGTCTCTGGGATCTTGATTGAGGGTTGCTTTCTTAGCTAGCTCTTCGGCGGCGACAGGAAAAGCAGCAGGAGGAGGAGGAGGAGCAGTAGTCAGTCGTCGTGGCCGTAGTGGTAGTTCCAGTCGTAGTGATACTGATCATAGGCTAAGCAGAAGCAGTCAGGGTACTAGCTGTCATCTACAATGGCACATGTATTTACCAATACCTTCCAAATATAGCCATTATATAAGCAACGTCCATTACTCAGCCCGTTGTCAGCCTTCAATGAACGCTTCACCCAAATCTAACAGCACTCGCGCTCTAACGTTCTAGTGCCACCTTGCCCAGAGTTTCGAGGAGGAGACCGCGGATGACATGGTGCAGCTCGTTGACAACTTCGTCCAACGCTCCTGGCATGCGATGAGGGCCTTCGGGGTTTGGATTCAGGGGTGTCAGGTTTCAGGATCGATAAGGGTAATTTTGAGTGTGGTATCTCCGTTTTGGCGTTTGACATGTTGGAACCCTAAACCCTAAACCCTAAACCCTAAACCCTGAACCCTAAACCCTAAACCCCCATGTTGGAGGTTTATCGCTTCAGGGCATAGGGTGCTTTGAGATTTCAGAGCCTCTCAGGAGCATACTACATAGACCGTGTAAGCACCGAAGTTTTATCTCACCAGAGACCCTAAACCTGAAACCCCCGAAACCCTAAACCCTCACCCCTAAACCCTACACCCCTCAACCCTAAACCCCTAAATCCCTAAACCCCTATACCCTCAACCCCCAAACCCTTAAAAAATCTAAACCCCAAATCCCTAAATATAGGGTTGAAAACCCCAAAAAACCCCAAATCCCTAAACCAAATCTCAGCCCCAAAACCCCAAAACCCGAAAAAAATACTCAACTTAGGGTTGAAATCCCCAAAAACCCCAAATACCCTAAACCCTAAACCCCTACACCCCCAAGAGCCTTGGAGGTTTCCTCCAACCCGAGCGCGAGGCGGGAGAGCCCGAGGCGGGGAGAGCGGTCGGAGGAGTTTTTGATTGGGGGTTTTAGAGGTTTAGGCTTTAGGGTGTCAGAAGGTTTAGGGTTTTAGTTTAACGTTTAGGGTTTAGGCGTGTTTATTTTGGAGATTCACTGGCCTTTTCAGTCAGTTTGCCAGGAGCTTACTTGCGGTTGGAGGTTCCGATTCAGATTGATTGCAGCGTCTTCCAACGTGTGTCGAAAATGGAGTGTGGTGCAGCGGCATCTTTGTAGAACTTCTGGAAACCAAGGGAGAAGTAATATAGAGGCCGAAACAAATACCAATACTATATTGTGGGGTTCCTTATCGAGGTATTAGTTATAGTAGAATAGAACAGTATAATATCCCCCAATACCTTATTCCAACTATTAAGGCTTGCTTCTACATTTTCAAGAGTACTACCCTAAACCCTAAACCCTAAACCCTAAACCCCTACGCCTTAAGCCGCAGATGCAGGGAGTTGGCCGACGCCACCAGGCTGCAGCGCCCGCAGTCGAGCCGGGCACGGCCTACGAGGCCTTCGGAGGGGCGACCGCAGGTCTCGATTTTGTAGAGGGTTTAGGGTTTAGGGTTTTGGGTTTTGGGTTTAGGGTCTGGAGTTTCCATGTGTAAGGCTTAGGAACTCGGGCTGTTCAGGTTTAGGGCTTCGGGTTTAGGGTCTAGAGTTTCCATGTGTAAGGTTTAGGAACTCGGGCTGTTCAGGTTTAGGGCTTCGGGTTTAGGGTCTAGAGTTTCCATGTGTAAGGTTTAGGAACTCGGGCTGTTCTGGTTTAAGGCTTCGGGTTTAGGGTTCAGGGTTTACGTCTAGCTGTGGCGTGCTGCCAAGCAGACACTGGTGCCTCGGGAGGGCCCCCGGGCACAAGCTGAACAAAGGAAGACGGTTTAGGGTTTAGGGTTTAGGGTTTAGGGTTTAGGGTTTAGGGTTTAGGGTTTAGGGTCAGATGACCAACCTTTCCACTGTCTCTCCTGCACCTAGAACTGGTCCAGTACTCGGGCCTGCTTGAGGCTGACCGTGGAGGAAGGTCAGCTACGGGAGATCAGGGTTTGCGGTTCCTTTGCTGCTCACAACTGACCGGTTGACACCCCAAAACCACTACTCTACGCCGTCGACGCCCTCCTCCTCCATTCTCTAAGCCCCAGACCCTCAACCCTAAAACCCTCAACCCTAAAACCCTCAACCCTCAACCCTAAGACCCTCAACCCTACACCCGCAACCTCAACCCTACACCCTAAATCCTAAACCCGAAGCCC